GAAGAAGAGAACTGACCAAAGTAAAGAGAACAAAATGCTTAAAGCAAGTGTTGAGATGAGCTTCTTCTTGCAGACTCACAATCTTCTGAAAGTGCGAATGGTATATATGACCGTACACTCGAAACAGCCTCTTCATTATCGTTTTCACCACTTCCTGAAAATTCGGTGGAAACGGCACTCCTGCCCCAAAAACAAATAAATCGTTAAACTTTTTTTTTTTTATTTTTTTTTTTTGTAATCGGCAGAAAAGTATGTCGAAATGGATGAAAAAATAAAACCAATACGACATATATATATACCAAACTTCTGGGGAAAAACGGACTCGTCGTCGAGCTGAGCTTCGACCCAGTCCATTAAATAGTCAACGTATTTTGGAGCAGAAACCACTATCGGTTTCTTTATGGTGATTCCGTCAGCCCACCTGTACTCGTACCTATATATAGAGATAAAATACGTAATTTTTTTAGAATCTACACATGACATGCATATTACAGCTCACTTTTTCGAAAAACAAATTTTATCGGTATGCTCAAATTCAATAAAGGAGTTAAAAAAAATCCAGCTGGTATCGACGACATTTTCAAGCTCATTTATTTCCGACAACCGATTAAAAATAAATACGTGTCGTTATTAGTCATATGCTGTTATCTGATCTGTAATTAATTAAGAGTAGAAAATTCGGATAATAAAGAGCACGGTAGATCGAGATCGAATATATATACCTTGGACCAGCCGACATAATCGGACAAGTTGATGGTGTGCAGAACTCAGTGAGAGTAGCATACAGAATGTTCACTTGATTGAAAAAGTCGACAGCTGCATAACAAAAACCAGCAAACGTAACGGACTATAATATAATCAGGTACGACAAATTAAAATTCGCACGATATGCATTTCTTTTTCTTTATTGCATAAATGAAACAGATAATTAATCCCGTTGGAAAACGACAACTCGTTCTTTTTTTTCATTACATAAAACGAAACAGATAATCCCGTTGGAAAACGACAACTTTTATTCGAATACGACAAGTGGTTCTTGACATGCAACTTTCTTTAAATGGATAGACCTAATCAACAACAGACAAACATGTCTCGTTTTGGAATAACGAATATTGTATATGAGTCGTTGTTCATCAGATACTCGATTCGGATTCGGATTCCGATTCGACTAACACATTAACAACACATAATTGGAAATTACAACATCAACGAGTTTACCAAGAACGGAATTTATCTAATTATAACCAATAGATACGCAAAAATCTTGATTTATCGTCACTAACTTATTAAGGATAAAATCATAACACTTACTGTTTTTCACTAATCGAACAATTATTTAATTTCCTTCATTAAAGCTCAAGTCGTTATCGTATCAAGTTCGAGAAGCACGCATATATAGCTAAAAAACGAAAAGCGATAGAGAAGCAAAATAATCGAAAATTATAATTAAATCTTACTATTTACTGCCAACCACTCATCGACATCTTCTCCAGGCGGGAGTTTGACAGCTTCCCTCAAATTGCCGCTACCCAAGGTGGCATGAATGTGCCTCTGAAGAAACGATGCCTGCATTTTTATTTTATTTTAAAAAAAACAACGATGATTGCTATTTTCTTTTCAAAGTACAAAAAACACATGCAGGAATTAAACATGATCTAAAAGAGCTTTACAACACGAAGAATTGATCGAACGACGACAGACCTTACTTCCGGAAGGAGCACCCTTCTTCGCACGGAAAGTTTTCTGGTTTCTGCATTTCATTCGAAAAAAATTCAGATCGAAATATATATATAACACCGACAAAAACAAAAAAAAATAAAAAAAAATTAACACATATCATAACACCATCTTGAAATTAAACTTGAACCGAGAAACAAAAAAGTAAATTAAAAAAATTGCCAGACACCGAAAAATCGGAAAATGGTATATGCAAGTGAAGTCGATAACAAAATCTATCACCAAGAGCTAATTAACTCCAATTCACCACACACATTAACCAAACTCAAAAAACAAAATCAAGCAACAAATAACATGCATGCAATTAAAAAAATAAAAAATAAAAAAAAATACAGATGAATTAGAGAATTGAGAAAATTAACAACATAGGATGAGAATTGAAATTAAAGAAAAAAAAAAAGAATTTCCTGGTTCCAATTCCAAAGAGACTCATGACTGTGTGTTTGGTGAATAGTACTGAATTACAACCCTAGTACTTAGTAAGTAAGTAGTATCTTTACTATTAATTAGTTTGAAGCGCTTTGCATGTTTTTATTTTGCTTGTCTGTAATATATATATATATAGACACACACACACACACACACACACAGATGTAGTAGAGGGTGGTGGTGGTGTGTGGTGGGGTAGGGTGGGGTCTCTCTCTCTCTCTCTAGCTTTCTCTCTCTAACTCATAATAAAGAGTATACAGGTAAGAATGTATGTATGTGTGTAACTAAGCGTGACGCATCATCATATTCATATCATATGATATGTAAGAAGAGAAGGAAGTTGGTAAAAGCAGACAAGCTCTTCAAATTTGCCATTGCTATCCCCTCTGGATTCTTGTCTCACTCGCTCACTGTTAGTTCGCCTTCTACCTATTATTATTTATTGCTCCGATCCTCCTTCATAAATATATATATATATATCTATCCTTTTTTTTTTTAATTTAAATAAATAAAACAGTGGTCTTAATTCCCACCATTATATTTTTCCACTGGTATTTTATTTATATAGTATGGTTAGACATACACGTGGCAAATTATTATTTTCTAACCACTTCCACTGAATCATTATAAATAGAAATGTTTTTATTTTCTGTCTTTTTTAAAATAGATAATATAGGCTATGTATGTTTATGTATATCCTCTCCTTTTATTGAATTAAACTTTATTTATGAAATATTCATATTTAGAATATCACATGCAACACTTTAAATTATAAGTTGTGCTAGAATCAGATTTTAATTATCCACTGCATGCATGCATGTGTATACTAACAATTCGTGATTGATTATATATATAATACATAATTCATGCATGAAAGTTAAATATTCTTTAATTTTAATTTTATGGGATTATGTAGATTAAAATACTTGCATGAAATGATATATAACCAAATATATTTGAGAAGATAGTTGCCACCTTACTTTCAACGATATATAATATACATTAATTAAAATCCCAATTTGGGCTAATAAGTATCGGCCCAACTTACATATTACTATACTAGTTGGTTGGGCCGGGCCGGGCCGTTGGGTTGTCAATTTTGTCCTATTCTTTTTTAATTACTAGCATTTTTTCCCCGTGCAATGCACCGGATATTATTTCTAATGTGGAAAATAATTAATTTAATACATAATAAGAAAATATCATACACTAAATTTAACATGTAAAATTTAATAATGTAGTATTATTCATATTTTATATAACATTGATTTTTTTTAAATCTAGCATATTAAGATTTATAATCCAAATATATAGATTAAGATTTAAAAAATCGTATTTCTATCTTTATCTCTTAAGATTTGAGATATATTGATGAAAAATCGGAGATTGACAATATTTAAAAATTATAATTTGAAATTAGTAGAGAAAAAAAATATTAAAAATAAATAATTACATAAATACCATTAGGGTTTTTAGGGTTGCACAACGTTTCTTTCTTTTATATATAAGATTAATTTTCCTTCAAAATTATATACGCGAATGTATTAATTCATTCACTCCCTAAATTTTAATTAGATTATCCAATTTTCATTTTTGTCTATACAAAATGTTATTTTATTTCTGTAATTTAATTTGAATTTAATCATTTATTATTTGCCTATATATCAATGTAGGGGAAGGAAAAATAAAACCAAAATTGACTAAATAGAAATGACGATTGTCATGTTGAGACTTGTCAACTCAAGTCATTTAATTCAATATCACTTTATTAAATAAATTTAGTAAAACAATTATTTAGAGATAAACACAATATAAATAATTGAAAGGCAAATTATAATTATTCGACAAATTATAGTCACCCCTGAGATAATGTCAAATTACGTAAAAACCTCTCATCTTTGGGTAATTACAACCACCACCTCAGTTATGTATTTTCTTATAAAAAAATTATCTTTTAGTAGGTAAATTTGACACTATAAAAATAATCAAGTGGTGGTTGTAATTATCCAAACATAAGAGTTTTTTTACAAATTGACATTACTTCAAGGGTGGCTGTACATTTGCCCTTATTATTATTGATCTTGATTCAAAGGGGCTTTAGAATTTTATGTATTAGCAAAATGGCAAAATGTAATAACTCAAATAAAATCCACTCCACCAATATATATATAAATTTGAAGGTGGTGATTGGATGGTAAAATAAATTGAAAAATGAGGAACTCATTGTTTATAATGATTTTGTTGATGATGGTAGGAATGGTGGCGGTGAATAGTGCGCAACCAGTTCGCCCGACGAAAGCACAATGCAGCGACGAGAGGAGGGACGGATTCAGTGCATGCAAGTTCACCCTAATTTACAGGTTGCCGCCTTCGGCCAAGTGTTGTAGGCGAATCAGAGAAACTCATACCGAATGCGTTTGCCCTTTGATCACGCCAAAAGTCGCGTTTCTGATCAACGTCAATTGGGCATTAAAAACAATTAGAAAGTGTGGGAGAGAAGTCCCGCGCAATTTCAAATGTGGAAGTAAGTTTTTTTTTTTCTCATTTAATTACCGGAAAAAAATATATTTGTGTTTGTTTCTTTTATGCAAACTAGTATTTCTCTCCGTGCATGCAGAATTGGAAAAATGATAATTTAAATACATGACACTAACAATTGTAAAAAGAAAATATGTTACACTATTATAATAAAATTTATTAGTAAATGAAATCGATCGTTAAATAGATATGAAACAATTAATAATGTTGTACTTTATTATTAATATGGTTTTCTATTGTGACATGGTTTTGCAGGTATTACCACACCGCCAATATAATAGAGCAATCTCTTCAACTTCTTGAATTTATGTATTTAAAAATGATGAATTAATTAATGCCATAATTAAGTACACATTTGTGATGACGATTAATTTTTAGTTATAATACCATCTATGTTGTGACAAATAAAATCCATTAACATCTAGTGGATGTTGTACGTTTGATATTTTATATTTATTCTGGTGTCTTACTTTTTTTTATTTACTAACAATTTTGCATGTGCGATGCACGGGATTGAGAAAATGGTGAAAATTTAAATATATGATAACTAAATTGTATTAAAGAAAAATACATATTGGTTTGTAGGAGAGAGAAAGAGTTTAAAAAAACTACTGTATTTCGAACGAATTAAGATTTTGCTAGTGAATTTGCAAATTTGATTTACTAAGAATATCATTAGAGAAAAAAAATCTGGAAAATAGGATATTAAATAAGATTAATAATTAATATTAAAAAATTACAAATATACCATTAAAATTTCTTAGATTGACCTACATTTTTTAATTTTATGTACGAAAATGCCCTTAAAATTGTTCGAAAAAACAGGTCCACTAATTACATATTTTCATGCAATATTCGGCTAACTAAAAAACAGAACTAAAAGAAGGATTACAAACAATTAACAAAATGCCGGAAAATTAATTTGGGATGAATTAAGAATGCCAACGTGGCACAAATCTGAACCACTGAAACAAAACACAAAAAAGAAATGAACTGAAAAATCAAGAAAATACAAATTAATTAAATGAAAAAATTATTTAGTGCCGCCAAGCACACCCTTGAGCTTCTTAATCTGGGCGACGTCGAGGAAAGTGGTCTTGGCGACGAGCTCCGTCGGGAAATCATTGGCGAACAGTGCGAAGTCGGTGATCTGCAGCCCTGGATTCTGCCCGCTGAAGCTCACGTACGCCAGCGCCGGAGTCTTGCCGGAGTTTATCTGGAAGTGGAGTAGCCCCTGCGGGAACACCATCACGTCACCCTTGAACAATGTCTTCAGGTATACAACGTTGTCGAACGACGATATGAGTCCGGCGCAGATGGTCCCCTCGATCACCACCAGTATCTCCGACGCCGCCGGGTGGGTGTGGATGGGGATGACTCCGCCGGCGGCCAGGTCGAGCCGAGCTATGGAGACGCCCAGTCCGTTGACGCCGGGGAACTGGCCGTCGAAAGCGGGGGTGACGGCGGCGCTGATGATGTTGGTGGTGTTGCCGGCGGCGGCGAGGCCGTGGAAGGCGAAGTCGTCGGCGGTGACGGAGGAGGATTTCTTGCAGGGGTAGCCGGCGGGTCCGGCGGGGAGGGAGAGGTCCGCCACGCAAAAGTCCTGTACCAGGGCGGTGGAGGCGGCGGCGAGGAGAGAGAAGAGGATGAAGTAGTGAAGATACATTTTCATTTCTTTTCTTTTCTTTTAATTTCGTTTGTGTTGATATAGTTGATAAGGGTTTAGGGTGGCAGTTATATAGAAATTTTGAGTGGATAGATTTTGATTGGTTGTAAGAGATTTTAGGCATGCATGCATATATGTATGAAAGGGGTTTCGAACATGGAAGAAAGAAATTAATTAGATTTGTCTGTACTGAATTTTGATGCATGTGATCTTCTTTTATCTTTTTTCTGCACTATATAGTATATACTATATATATACCTAACCTAGGGGTATATTCTGCAAAATATGAACAACTATATTACTATTAGTCTTGTGTTAATTAATATCAATACTAAAAGTTAGCTGGTTTGTGAAAAAATAAAAATAGATAACTGAATAATTACCTATATATGTGTGTGTGATTTATTGAAGAATTTGGATTTTTTTGAAAAAATAAATAATAATAATTTACAGTATACTGAAACATAGTTAATTAGTCATTGTATTTATTCATTATGAATTGTAACATTTACCTAATTAATTAAATAGGTAGAAACTGGCAAATTAAACAACAAAATACATTGCAACAAAAATATGAGCATGTGATGGGTGGTCCATGGATTGAGCAAAACTAAAATGGTGGAATATATATGTACTGTATATATGATTGTATGTTATGGAGGGCCCTAAATATAATATATTAGGACACTTGATCTCTGCCCAAGTCAACTTGCTATTTAATTGGTATATATATATATATATATATATATATATATATATATATATATATATATATATGGAGCGCTCGGGGTCTCTCTCTCTCTCACCGATTAATATATATAGAGAGATATGGGTATATGTGTTGTGTCCCCTTATGTATCTATATATATATATGTCTAATTTCTTTCTCTCTGTTTCTCTGTCTCTCTTTTTCTATCTCTGTATTTATTTCTCAAGAGATATCGACATTATTAGATGTATATATTTAACAATAAATTGCGCTCGTGTGTAATATTTAGATATACCGAGAGAGAGAGAGAGGGTGTGTGTGTGTGTGAGTCTGTGTGTCACTAGCACACTA